GTCCTTCCCTGCCCTTTTCTTTGTCTTTACCATCTCCCGTTTCAACCCTCTCTTCTCATGCTCTTTCTCTGGGATTTTCTGTGATTTTGAGAGGCACTTGCATTCCTCAGGGCATAGGCGGCTTGGTGTTTAGGGAGTTTCTGATGTGTTTTTGTGACTCCTTTATTTAAATACACACTTCTTTCATATCAGTCTACAGAATAGACAGAAAAGTTGGGGACAGCTGGCATTGCCTGTTGGAGGAATATCTGCCGTGCTTGAGAGCTGTGATATATTGACACTGTAACTCTCTGCTGTCGCCTTTGCTACTTGTGTGTTGCCGCCTGTCTGGAGAGGGGCCCAAATTGAGGGGTTACTGCCTGGGGTTCAGTCTAGCCTACATCAAAGGTCAGCCAAAAGGTTATGTGTGTTTTCAGTCAGGAGGCCAGAGGTAGGTCAGCGTACCCCGGAGCTTGTGCTTACTCTGCAGCAGCACGCACTGGGAAAAGGAATCGCGATGCACTATTTAACAGTTGATCCAGTGACAGGACAGCAACCTAAGTCCCATTTGACATCCACAGAAGTAGGAAAGTAGAACTTCTCTAAGTACTGTATGTAAATAAGAATCTCACAGGCATCAGAAGAGAAAGTAACTGACAAAACCGGGTATATTATTTGGAATGGGTAAAATGATGATGTTCTGGGTGTTTCTTCACAAAAATTATATAAAAGCAGCTAGTAAGAAACTTCATGCTGGCTGGTGTTGATGTGAGAAGAGGGGTGGGTTTTGGTTTGTTTGGTTTTAGATGGTAGTTTAGTGGTTTAGTATAACTAATTCTATCAGGTTTTTTTGTTTAGGGTTGCTTAGGTTGCTGGTAAGTTATGTGGGTGCATGGGACATGAGGGGATGGTAGTCATTGATTGCAGGAATTGTACAGTTCAGCATGTAAATCAGGAGCGCAAAACTGTGCTGTATGTTCAAATACATTCAGTGAGCCTCAGAGCTGAAGCTGGTTGGAGGTTGTCAGTGCATACTGTTATGTGTACTGACTGCAGCAGAAAAGGAAATGTCTGCTTTACTTTCTCACAGTTAAACCCACAAATATTTGTATATACACATAACCTCTAAGTTTACCAAATGCATAGTGACTTACCAACCCACAATGACGTATCATGCCTGAAGATGGCTATTTCCTAGAGAATCATCTCCTCACCTTACCTCTCTTTTGATTTGAACAGAAGTCGAAAGATGCGTGATCCACATATGTGCCCTGAAGGGAGTCAGTGCATCCACGCCAGCAGATGCATCTTGCAACTTCCAGAGGTGAGAAGCTGAGGGAGTTGGAAAACTCTGTCACACTATTTCCTTGTGCTAGCTGATGCTGCACATTAAGAAATCCCTACACCAAATCTGGGAGGTTGATTACACTGCCAGCTCAGTTTCTCAGTGCGGCAACTCAGTCCCTGGCTAGGAGACACATACTGAAAAGTGGTTTGTAAACCAGAGGGGAAACTTCATTCTGCCAGTAAATAGTCACAGACCTTTTATGTAGACAGTGGTGGTGGTTGTAAAGGGTCTTGGGTGCATTGTGTGTGCACATCTTCTTCTCTTTAGTATTGAAGACTGAATTCCTCATCTACTTTTTACTCTAGAAGGGATTGTCCTGTAAAGATAAATATTAGAAGCTTTGTGGAGACCAAGGAGGGTGACACAAGGCAGCAGGGCTCAGATCACGATAGGGAAGTGTCTTGAAACTTTGAATAGATGAGGCTGAAAAAGAAGCCAAAACTGTGTCCGCCTGTGTAGTTTGGTGTTTTGTTGCCTCTTAGAAAGAAGAGGCTATTATTGCAGGAGGACTGTTTCTTGGTTTTGCAAGGACATGAGGTCAATCTCATAGATAATTTCTATCGTCAAATTATCTATCATGCAGCAAAAGAATTTCATATTCAGAGAGAATAGAACATGCCAAAAGGTGAAAAAATCTGTGGCTACAAGGAGAAAATCATGAATTACGATGTCATGATTAGCCAGTATCCTGATAATTGCATCAAGCTCATATCATGGCAGTTTTGTGATTCTGAAAGAACACTCTGGAGTGCTGGGCTAAGTACAGCTGAGCCATAAGTAAGGATTGTGGTATAAAACAAGCTCTTCATAGTGCAGCTGCTGTGAAGACAGAGTATGTGTGCATGGCACAAAGCAGTGCTCTTCTATTCCTTGACCTAACTCTCATAAAGGAACTGGAGGCAGCTTGCTTGAGTCTCACCAGCTTTGCAGAGAAGCAGGGTATGTTGATCCAGGTGGACTGCTGTATCTCTGACTTCCAGGACCTATGCTATTCTCTGTAATCTGTGCTGTTCTGGTGTACCAGTTCACTCGGAGCTAGTTTGAGTATCTATGTAACACAGCCCTACCTTGAGTCAAGTGCAAGCAAAGCAGTCACCAAATTTGTTTAGGTAATGTCAACCTGCCATTTTGATGAATGTTTTTCATCGTTGGTGATGTTATCAGCATTAAAGAAAACACTCGAGAAAATTCTACTGCTGAGTAATTCCTGACCTGTGAATTACTTTGCATCTCGCTTTTCAGATCAATATGGTAAAACAATACCAAAAGGTGTTTGTAACATGGGTTTAATAGGAGTTACTGAACAGGCACTTCTGCAGATTAGCTTGTGTCACCACTGGCAGACCAAGATCTAAGTGGATATAATTGTAGTTCCAATAGCGAAGAATCCTTCAGTATAAACAATGTGGGTCATTAAAACTCCCAAGCATTTAATTATCACCAATTAGCAACTGAGTGAGGTAACATCTTATGCAACAGACTCTTGATGTATCATGTGTGGTGAAGGATAGCTCTCGCTGCATTGTCGAGACCAAATGGGCTAGAAGGCATAGGGAGGGGGTCATCTTGGTTAAGACTCAGCTAGGTATTCAACTGTGGTCTATTAATAAAATCAGGTATCAGTATTACAGCATTGCTGAAATAATCTGTTTGATGTTTAACCCTGATCAGCACTGTTATCTGTACACAGGGCACTGAGGGATCCTTTGGCATTGATAATGAGGAGTATGAAGCTATGCCTGTGGAGGTGAAGCTTTTACCCCGGAAACTCCGGTTCTTCTGTGATCCTAGAATGAGAGAGCAGATGCTCCACGCAGCAGTACAATGAGAATTCATGTCAGAGGGTCCAGTGTTACCAGGGTCTCTTCAAGGCACATGAGACCTCACTGACTTGATTAGCCCCACCAGACTAGTAAGCCATTTGGCTGTTATGCACAAGGTACTTCCATTGGAAGTAGCCAATTTGGCTAGTCTCAAAGAGGTTAAAAATGCAAATGAAAATTCTAAGAAATGCATGTTAACTTCATGGCATCTTTTTTTCCCCCCAGATAAGTCATCAGTGCTCCATTTACAGCACTGCAGGCTGAGTGCTGTGTGCCAGATGCTACTGCTTTAATGCAATTGTATATTAAAGTAAAATGAAAGCACAGTTGTCCTTGTGTTTTAAGAGTTTAGGTCTACTTTACCTATGTATAAATCTCGCAAAGATCTCCTGGGATCTTGGAAAAATTTATTTTGGAGGAGCAATGCAAAGGGGGTCTATGAAATGTTGGAATTGGCACATTAAAAAAGGTGGGTGGTTATGTAGTCTGCCACAAAATAACTTGGAGATCAGTGACACAAAGCTTCAGAGGAAGTTTAAAAATTCCCCATATGTATCTGGATTAGATATTTCTGGGTTTTTTTTCATCTTGCCAGATGCAACAGCACAGAGTTCCAGCTAATAATATAGTAGAAATATATTCCTTTGATCAAGTTTAGGTATGTTATACAGAAGCAAATTGGAAGATTTCATCCTTGACCCAAAGCTATATGAAGTACATGTGGAAAGACTCTTTAATAAGCCAAATGAGTCTTTGCAAGTATTCCTTTTATTCCTGTAGTTGCAGAACACAAATAAGGGCATCCAAGTAACTTTTTTATTCATTGTGTCTGGTTGCTCTTCTCTTGCACATAAACAGCGCTCATCACTCCGTAGGCAACCTACGTTCCCTGGAGCCCCAGTACTGTAATTAGTTTTGTTGCTCTTCTGAGCTTTTGTTTATAGCTTCACTTTAATTGCTGAAAGGAAGTAGTATTGACTTAGGCAAGGTTATCTGTTGCCCTTCTTATTATAACTTACAAGTTCACATGATTCTGCCTTGCTTACTGGAAGAAAAAAAAATTGATCCTTATTTTTCTGATGTGATTGTTGTTTGTACATAGCCCCCGTATTATGCTGTGATCTAGTCTACGTTCATCTGTTGATTCTTTGCTGTAATCAAAATGATGACATTAGTGAATTGACTTCCAGCAGCTTTCTTAAAGACTGCATCCTGGCTGCATGCTGCTGCAACAGCATCCTCTGCTGGAGACTTGCTAAAGGAAAAATGCTTTGAAAGGGGAAGTAGGGTTGGTTTTCTGGGTGATGCCAGAATCAAACTGACTGCTGTCCTTCCCTTGACTATGGTGCAGAGAAACTAATTGCCTAAGCTATTGGGGCAAGCACTCATCCCTTTCTTGACTAAAAGATTTAGGGGAGTAGAAGCCTGGTAGTTCTTTTTAACAGTTACGCTGGTAATAGGGCCTGTGTTGTGCTGTTTTTCTTCTGATCTGCGGCAATAGTGCCCAGTGGACCCCTGGGATACTCTCCAAGAAACATGTTGGCTGTGCTCTGCTCTTTTTGCTTGCCACAGAGACACCCGGAACGTTGCTCTGCAGCCACTGGCTCATTCAGAGCAGTTCTCAGCAATTGAGTTTTTCATCAAGCTGATTCTTCTGTAATAAAATTAGCTTTTGCTCAGGTGGCAGGACAGACAAGGCAGCAGCCATTTCAGAAAGGTAAGCTTTAATTGTATTAAAAAAATACTCATGTTTTAGTAAGCAGTTTCTCTACACAGCCACAGACCTATGGGAGCAACCACACATCTGCAAGATGCAAACGACATCAGAGCTGTTAAAACTACAACCGGCCTGCTGCAAGGGGCAAGATGGTAAGAACTAGCTTCTGGTTCATCTGTACCATTTTCAGGGAAAATGACTAATTCTCCTCCACAGTATCAGACGCACAGCTCCCATTGCAATGTGATTCCTTGCTTGAGGGTAACCAAGAACTCCCTTCAGAATTGGTATTGTATTGGTATTGTTAATGCTGCTCTGATGTTTAAGTACCAAAGATCGTCCGAAGCACAGGCTGATATTTAAATATTCATATCAGCATAAGTTGAGTAGCTTGTATAAATACCATTCAAGTAATTTTTCTCCTTCCTCTGCAATTCAGAGGTCTTCCAGTATGGAGTGGTTCTAGACCTCTGAATTGCAACATTCAGAGGGAAGGTGTGAGGAAAACATGACATAAAATAAGCAGGGGCTGAACCCACTATCTACAGTGTTGAGGAAAGGACTCAGTTCTCATGTTTCTGTCTGACAGCAAGACAAACAACTTTCTTTGTATGAACTCCAAGACAGGAAGCAGGAGTAGAATCCTAGGTCCCACTCATGGCTTCATCTTACAGTCCATTCTACAAGGGCTTAAAATACCGTAACAAATAAAAAGGAAGGATAACAACCTAATGATAGACCAGCCCAAGGCACCTGTTTATTTTAACCGTGATTAAACATTCCCATTCGAATGGCATGTTGCATTAACCAGGACCTGAAATCCTGGTTCACGGGCATTATGTAGCCTCTGGTTTAGACAGACATATCGTTCTGTTAAGTCAGTACATTCCAGTCTCTTGCAAAAGACATATGTGTTGCCTTCTCCCATAATCACTAGACCTCTAGCTTTGGCCAGGGGAGGGGGGGGGCAGGAGGAGAGAAAGGAGACAACTAACTTAGAAGTAATAGCTATGGTGAGAGAATTTGGGTTAGTGCACATGCTTTGTACCTAGACTTCTGCATTAGGACAGAGTTCTCTTGCCCTTCCCCCTCCCAGAGCAAAGCATGCCTGTCCCTTGCATAGTCTGCCACCAGGAGGGCCACAGCTGCTCCTAGCTTTTTGCCCATTAACTTTGGCAGTTCTTAAAATGGAAGAAGTATTACAATAGCACTGCTTTACAGAGTAAGCTGTACAGTAAGCTACTTTCCCTTGACAAGGTGATGGAACTTTCTTCTGCCCTTAAGGATGCTGGATAAGTGAACTCATCTCCTGTGACAGACATGACCGTTAGCTCTAACATACATGGGAGTAACTGCTTCATATATGCTAGAAAATAAGGTATTTTAGCATGTCTCCAAGACAAATCTGAACTCTAATTCAGTAAAATGTCTTTCTCCTAATATCCATTATAGTTCTGAGTTGTGCTTGGCTCTATGCAGCTTGGCCTAACCTTGCAGTGAGAAGACTTCTGCATGATTTAAATGTCTGGCATGGTATTCCTTGTTCAGATGTAAAACCTAGCTTTTATTTCTCTCCCAAGCTTTACCTTCCAATCCAGATAGTACAAGCAGTAATGATTCATTACTTGATTATACATTTCTAGTGCAACTTAAGTTAAGATGCAACTATGAAGCTCTTGCTCTCCTGTTTTAAGCTCAAGCAAGTACCAACTGAGAACCCGCAATGGCTGTGCTATGACTTGGGTGTTAAGAGAGGAGCGTACCAGGCTGCGTGTACCGGGACACAGGATATATACGTGGTTCCTGTAACCACCATTCAGCCTGGGCTCTGATCACAAGCTACTGACCAGAGACATCACACCAAAGAAATTAAAGGCACCACTGTAAAGGCAAAGTACTTCAAATGGAGAAGAGAATTTTTGCAGTAATTGGCAATACCCTACCTTATGCCACACTTTCCTTCCTCTTTTAATTCAAAATACACCAAGTAACCGTCTCCCTTCCAGCTGCTAGTATTGAAAAAAGCAACTGCTAAGTAAGTGCCAAGGAGGGGATTTTAAATGTATGCACTTAACTGTTTTACCTTGAGTTATGTTACCTCCCAGTAAGGTAAGATTCAGCAAAGTTGGTTCCAAACAAAAACGGCCTACTGAACAAGCCCTCATGGCCCAAGCCGTAGCCATTTGTTTATATTATGTGCCCATTTACCAAGGATTTTCCACATGTGACAACAATAAAAGCAATGTCTATTGGAAAAGGGAAGCGCAGGTGGAAAGTTCTTTTGCAGCAAATCAAACAAGGGTGGGTTAGGATAGAGAAGTCTTTTTGTTCTGTTTTCTGTCTTCTGTAGCAATCACCTGCCAAGAGAGGCTGTAGAGAAGCAAAATTACAAGGAAGAGCAAAATAGGCTGTAGCCATCCAGCTGGGATGTAGCGTGGATGCTACTTTTACAGTAATCTGCTTGCTTTGATGCTTCTGCACCCACACTACTGCTAGCAACTGAAGACCTAGTTTCTGGGAAGCAGAGCTTTAATAAATGTCAAATAGCAATTTCAGGAGGCTCTGCTGGGTGGGCTCTAGCAGTGCTGTCTAGTAGACCTGATGTTCTGAGAGCTCGTGAACATAGCACTCCAATGCAGGGTGTTTGTTAGAAAGCCTCTGAAATTTTACAGCCTCTGCAGTCAATGACAAATTAAAGGCGTGTTTCTGTTTAGTTCAGCAAAATAACTACTGACATCAGAGAGAACAGAAAGTCATTAACAGCTAACCACAGCTAAACTATGTAGCAAACCTTCAAGAAAGTGAGAGGAAGAATTGCCAGAGACTAGTTCCTTTTTTTGTATCTGAAGGAAGTTAAGTAAGTGACAGTAATGCAGTACCAGCTATGCTTCCTCAGGGATCTTCACTGCAGACAGCATGTTAAAACTAAAGTGGAAGTTAGAAAAAAGCATGGAGATTGTGCGTCACTTCGATACTAGAGTGTCAATTTAAAAACAAAGCCTTTTCTTAAGGAAAAGAAACTGATCTTTCCATTAGTCAGCTCTGTTTTTTCTTCTTTATCCTTTTTTTTTTTCCTCCAACCTTCTAAGGACGATTACTTTATAGTTCTGAGCAACTGGCAATACAAGCAGCAGCATGTTTTCTTCTGTACAAAAACATCCAAAGCCCTGAAAAAGCAGGCAGGGGAGCAACTGCTCAGAGACAGGCAGATCACAGGAACATAATAAGCTGAAGCTCATACCAGTGAACTGTGCAATAAGCCTTGTGAGGCCCTTGATCCCATGCCTCACTAAAACCTCTGAATCCACAGCAAGCGAAACTACCCCTTTGCTGCAGATAGCCTTCAAGGAAAAACAAGATGTGCCAGCCTCTTTCCTTCCAGAGGGAAACAATCCACAGAGGGTCTACTTGCAGAACATTTGCTTCACTTGTTTTAAAAAGACTTCGGTAGTTCAGGCTCTCTCTCATCCTATTAAATGGTAGGATAAATGAATACATCAGCTACAGTTTGTATTTCTACAAACCACAGGAAGGCTCCAAGGGTGCTGAAGTCTATTATGGTAGAAGCAGCAGCTAATTAGTGATAGCCACAGTTCAGGAAGAACAGTTAACTTAAAGCTGATGCTACTACTGGCTGAAGGATTTTGGGCACAGCAACATGTCACACCTAGAACCCAGAGTACCATTCTTTGATTTTGTGTGGCAAAGGGATTACTCTTTCCTGGGACAGTCTTCCTGGAGGTCACCACTGGTCCTGCACGAACTGAATCGTGTTCTTTCCACAGCACGAGAATAAGAAACACTGTTCATTTGGTTCTACAGCTTTTCTGCCCAGGAAGAAAAAAAGGCTTGCTGTTAGACATTGCTTCTAGCAGCTGCACCAGTTAAGACCACCAAACTCCAAGGGAACCTCCCACAAACTGCAAAGCCATTCCAGCTGAAAGGTCGCATACTGCTCTCTGTCTCGCACTGAAAGCCAAGGACAGCGGCAGGCAGTGCTGAAGGCTGCTCGACAAGAGGAGGATCAGCAGACGATGTTAAAGCAAAGGAGTGACAAGTACCAGCCGCTACAAAGGACAGGCTAGTGACATTAGTTAAAGCATACTTAATTCAACCCAATCCGGCCCAGCACCAGCTGAGCTGAAGCTGGAGAACATAGTGCCTGGAAGGTGGCTCAGTGACGTTGGTCCCTGTTAAATGGGAGACCATCTTGCTGGTTTGAAGATTTTAAACCAAAGCTGCAGGTGTGATGCAACTGAAAACCAGAGGAAGGGGTAGGAGAGACTAAGCAGAGATGGTGCTCTTCTCCAGCTATGAGATAGGTAGGTATAGTCTTTGCCAGTTTATACCACCTCATATGCTGGAAGTGAAACCGTGCCGCTCCAGTAAGCAAAGTCGTAAGATCCTGTAGCACCCCCTTACCCCAAACTTGCTTCTACCATTGATGAGGAAGGGTGGCTTTGGTCCAACTCCGCTACTAAAGGTTGGATGAGGGGTGTTGAAAGGAGTCCTGTTTTTTATCATTGGTTTAACTGCCCCCACCAATAAACATGGTAGGACAGGAGATGTTTTATGAGACTGGGCCACTAACAGCCTGTGCTGAAGCTCTCTTCAGTCCCCAAGTGGAAGAGGGGATGATGGGAGGGTTTTCCAGTCAAGTCTTGAGAGCTCAGCTACAGCATTTCACATTGGTCCCCATCAGACAAAGTGCTTTCCTGAAGTCTTCAGCCCTCAGGTATCCAGGCTAGGCCAAAACCTAGCTATCACTGGCAACAGTGAGGATTGGTGCAAAGGTGCCACTGGTCCTATCTAAACAAAAACCCAAACCAACCAACCAACAAAAAAAAAAAACCCAAACCTGGAGCAGGTACTCGTTGGGAAGTTGAGGGGGAGAAAATAAAATCACATTTTGTTTTAAAATTATAAATATTCTCCATATAAAGTTATTAAATAAAATGAGATCCATCCAGTGGCTGTAGTAAGTTCCAGTGATCCTCCTAAGCAATGTCTGGTAGTCTTTAAAAAGTGATCTTTGCTCCCCATCTCTCTTGCCCTTGGTTTAGGTGCAGCAGGGGTTGTCAATGACTAGCATAACATCAATGCCATACACTTCCAGCAGGTCCATAAGGAAACTTCGATCCCCTTGGGGATCCAGGCCCATGCCTCGTGCGTGGTCAGCTGTCAGTGTCTTGTCCTGGCTGGCTGACACCTCCATCAGCGTCTGAAATATGCGGTTGTTCTGCTCCATGAAAAACCTATAGGATAAAATCAGCTAAGATGATGGCATCGGACCCCCAAAAAGACAGCATATTTACCAAACAGGCAGCAGAGCCCCAGAACTGCATTTAACCCCCTTTAATCACAGAACTCACCTTCTTAGGTGACACTGTAGTAGTTTGCCATCTACCCGACAGATGACCCAGAATAAACAAAGACAAAGCAGTAACTTTTAATTTACAGCAGTGCTTCTGTCTGGCCGATTTATGGCAGGCATTTCACTCTTCAGAAGCAAAGCCACGTTATCAACTAATGTGTACTTTGTGGTAATCAAGTGGGTACATCAGACCTATAGCTCCCGTAATGCAAAGGAGGAAACAGTGTTGTCATCCATCCAGTAAGCCACAGTAAATAAATTCTCCTTTACTGTACAGAACACAGCAGCGAGCTACTTCTCAGTGCTTTCCTAGGAACACACAAGACTGTCCAAAAAGAGCTCTGGCTACATCCATGCAGCTCGGTTATCAGAGCTCTGCCCCGACAGCCCTTCACACAGTTTCATCCCATTACTTCTCACCTGCTGCAGACTGAACAATAGCAACAGGCACTGAAGGGCTTCAGAGGTGGTAAAGGTGTCGTTTTTATCTAATTCCATACCTCATACTCTACACGCAGTTCTGATCCCTCTGTTTGCCAGGTACAAAGCCAGCCACATCAATGGGCCAACCCTTCACATGCAGATCTTATCTCCACCCTGTACCTCCCCAGCATGGTACAGTGCCTGCTTCCCACAGACGTTGTCCTTTCCTGAGCCAAATGTTCTGGCATGGAAAGACCTATAGTGCTTATGTTTTAAAAAATGGGAGGGGATTCTTGCATTTCTAATTATGTTTTTAAAATTCCCCTCTCCCTACCAGCACTTAAGGAGACCCCAGTGGAGACTAATATGGCTTCATTTGGCTTGTCAAATTGAAAGGAAGATGATCTGAAGAGGAAGAGCCAGTGTGGTTGTTGGATCCCTAGAGGAAAATTGCTGACCATGGAATTACATTAACCGTGATGTTTCATAATACGCCAATCCGGTACAACATGAAATCAGTGAAAGCAGCTCCCTAAACCTAACGGTGACCAGCTGAGTATTAGAGGTAGCCACTCACAAGATGAAAAGGTCCTCTTCACAGGAGCTACAATCCTCACCCACTTCTTGAGAATACATTAACATCTGCCTGAGAAAAGGGAGACAGATTAAATGCATATACCTACAGTGAACCTCAAAGCATTATGAGAAGACAAGGATTATAACTAAAAGCTTCACTTCTCCGTGTCTTGGAGACAAATCAGATTAACACCATTGCCCTGATATCCGAGGCAACAGGGTAGTCTTTATAAGGCACTGGGCTAGAAAGCAGGCTGTCTTCAGTCCTGCTACTGATCAGTGGTGAACGAATGGTGAGTCACAACCTTCCTGCCCTCCACCTGCTCCATCAGCTCACTGGCGGAGTGACTGTATGTGTGCAGAGTGCCCGGTGGCTCTCACACCACTCAGCTACTGTGGAACCAGAATCTCAAAAGAGATGAGCTGAAGCAGTGTGAAATTTTGACAATACTAAGACAAGAAGGAAAGTACAAAGGAGTGGTGTCCTCTTCACACCCTATATCTTTAACATCATGCTGCTCTCCTACCAGGACCACCCAGATGTCTGTTATTACCTCTGGTCATTGAGCCGTCGGTACTTCTCCTTGTCAGCATTGTTAATTTTCAGAAGTGGTTGCAGATGCTCATGATGCGTCTTCACATTCTGGTTGTCCACATAGACATCATAGAGATCCCGTTTCTCCTCAAAGATCTTTTCTGTTGTACCTGACAAAATCAGAGAAGATTTTCAGAGCAGCACGTTGCTTTACCAGCAGACCAACCGTTCTCTTCTGCTTTTGTAGTTAGTCATTCCATGCACATCCTATTTCTCATCAGTTTTATCCCACAGTCTGGTGTCTCGAGACATTTCGCAGCCTGAAGTTAAAAACATCACGCCTAATCCATCATACTTACAGGCCACATATGATACTTCTGTCTCCAGCATTTCTATGTCTGCCACATTCACATAGAAGAATGGTTTGGACTCTGGGACAGCTCCTCCAAGACCAGGCAAAGAAACATTGGCAAGGCAACAACAGCAATACACTGCGGACAAGAGAAGTACATCCTGAGATGCTTTCAGTATTCCCTCCAAGGGCATTCTGAAACCCACTTACCCAGCTCTCCTGCACGCTTCTCTGAAAACAATGGTAAGAGCTTTGAAATACCCCTGAACACCAGAACTTCTCAAGTGAGGACATCCTGTTTTGGATAGCAAATCGGTTCTCCTATAGGAATCCCATGTTCTAGGTTCCACAAATTCATTCAGCACTCTTATTTTCCTGTGTTGACAGGAACTGTATGTGACAGCGCCAGGTACGCCCTTACGCAAAAGGCCTGAAGAAAAAGCATTTTGTAGGAAATGGGTAAATGCAGGCTGAACGGCGCCTTCACAAGGAACAGTTGCGGTGCATTTTAAAGACCTGCATGATGCCTGTCCCCTCAGTACCCACAGGCATTTCTGCAGTGCTTCAGCCTACTAGATCAGAGCTCTGCGGTGTCCCTGGAAACATACCTCTATAGCAGACAACTCCAACTGGGGGCGGCGAAAATATCAATATGCGCTTGCGCAGCAGGGCAAACTTCCAGAGGACAAGGATCTGCTCACCAAAGAATTTGATGAACTGAGACATACAGCCAGCAGGGTGTGTGATCTGCAGGTGGAGGGAAAGGGAAGAAAACAGCTCAGAGGTGAAACAGGGACACACGCACAGATGCTAAGTCTAAATGTGGGAACAAGACCAGCACACGGCAGTGACAGAGAACTGCAGCTTCCAACAGCCCAAGTAACAAAATCTTATCTAAAGCAGCCTACAAAGCACTGGAGTGACTGCCTGTACGAAGCAGTATGAGACACCAGCGAGGAGCAGCAGCACACTGTGCTTTTTTTTTCAGCCCCTTCCTCACCTTCATCTCAGGGTACATGTATCTGTGGATGGATGGCAGCCAGTGGACAGGTTGCTGAGAGGTGGGGGTGCCCTTGCTATCAGGGAGAACTCCTTTCTTGTCATCATAGAACGCCTCTAGATGGGAGTAGTGCCCTGGCATCTCCAGCTGGTGTCTGGAAAAGAAAAAACGGGAGATCTGTAGTGTCTCCAGACTTCCTTAGTGCCTTTCCCCCAGCCAACTTCTGCTTTCCCAGCTAGCAAACGAGCCCTGGGTGCCACAGTTGCACAGACTTATCCAGGAGGGCAGCCGAAGCCTCAGGAGTAACACCAGCTTTCAGTGCAGCCAGAGAACACGGGCAGGACTGAAGGAGACAGCGAGCTGATGTATGCATAGGACCGATCCTGTTTTAAATATGCTCAGGTAGGAACAGCTTTCCCTTCTATCATCACCATTTCCCCTGCCAGGTCCACTCAACACAGCTGAAGCACACACCTAGCCAGGATCACCATCATAGGTTTAGAAGCCTTTTGTGAGCCCTCAGTAAAGTGGTTTTCAGAAGGAGAAAAGGGGAACTTTGTGTCCTCTCAGCTCTCCCCTTGACACTTATGTCCTCACAAAATAAGTAGGGTTTGGATAGCATCTGACTAGCCTGTTAGCAATGAGCAGACAGCTGCTAATCAGCTCCTTGTTTCCTTCCCATTGTGAACCTGTAACTCTTTCTGGAGAAGCAGTCATTCAAAGAAATCATAGCTCAGCGTTGTAGCCAAATTCTCACTCACACTTAAAACCGCTCTCCATCGAGGCAGCATTACTTCTCCCAGGCGGGGAGTGGCCAGTCCCATTCCCAAGGGAACTTACCTGACCTGGTTCTCCAGGAAGTGCATGTACCTATACAGCAGGGTGTAGGAAGGGGAGAGAATCCCCACGGACTTCATGCGGGCACCACGCTCTAACTCACTCTCCACGGGCATGTTGGCAAAGCAGGCCAGGCCAAAACAGAGCCCCTTCCGGAAATAACTGGGGACAAATGTTTGACAGAAGGATTAGTGTTAAAAAGAGGGAAGGGGAAGAAAGAAACGTAACTCACCACTAAAAATTCTCATTTGGGAATGCAGTTTTTTCTTTAAGGAACCCCCTGAAATCCCACCCTGCTATCTGAAGGGCTGAGGGAAGGCCTTAGGTTCTCAGGAACAAGACAGGACATTTTAGGCAGGAGTTTCCAGGAGTTCCCACTAACGCTCCTACCAGCCACATCACAGGCTGGTAAGGAATGCAAGTAAGGAAAGAACTTGGAAGGAAGCCCAACAGAAGATGCAGGACCCAGTCAACGCAGTGCCCTTCTTCCAAGGAAGAGCCTGCAGTGCCTGAAGATGTGAGTATAATCTAGCTACCCAGTCATATTTTGGGTGCCAATGCGTTGAAGCATACTCTAGCTGAGCGCCAGAGTAAATTCACATGCCTTTGAGAAAATAACTGTTATTCCTGACCTAAAAGGAATTGTGACACTGCAATTCCTTGCAAAACCTGCAACACCAGGTTAGTAAAACGACAGGAATGCAGAAAATTCCTAGCTTACGTCTTTCCACCAAAGGAAGGAGCTAGTAAAGAAGAAAGCAAGCAAGGACTGTTTATCACAGCATTTATAGAATCATAGAATATTTTGGGCTGGAAGGGACCCCTAGAGGTCATCTAGTCCAACCCCCCTGCAGTGAGCAGGGACACCGCTAACTAGATCAGGTTGCTCAGAGCCCCGTCCAACCTGGCCTTGAATGTTTCCAGGGTTGGGGCCTCCACTACCTCTCTGGGCAACCTGTTCAAGTGTTTCACCACCCTCATTTAAAGGATCCAAAAGCACTGGCGGAATTAAGAACCTTTTTCTAAGTCCAGTTCCTGCAAAATCCTTCCCATTTAAGTTCAACCATTCCTTCCCCTTCCCCTTAGGCCTCTGCTGACAGCCCCAGTAGTGGCAGTGCGCTATGATTTGCCCAATACGCATTAAAATTTGCACGCCACTGAGAAGCTGGCCTGCCCCATTCACCAGTTGACCTCCACATCCGAAGCTGTCATACAGCAGATCCCACATGGCTAGCTGGTACTTGATACGACGTTGAGAGTATCTGAAGAGTATCTTTGGCTCGGCTAGATACAGTTTAGCAGCACGGTTATGCAGGCACTTAACTTCATAGAAGGAATTTTTCTTGCACATTCTGAATTGAGGGATGGTGGTGTAGATGTACAGCTAAGAGAAAGAAGTAGTAACATAGCTCAGATGTACTCACATGAAATCTGACTGGATTTTATGGGACCCGCTTGCCATGGACTTGAATTCCACGCCTTCCAAATCAATATCTTGGGGTAAACACCACTCCACCATGTTGCCTGCAGAGAAGCAAGTTTATCTGGGTAAACTTGGACTCATTTCTAAAGGGCAAACACCTAAAGGGCAACTGCAAGTTGTTGCTTTTACATCACTGGGATGCCAGTAACAGCGCACTAATGCACATCCTGAACTCCTAAATTGTCACAGACAGGGGCTGACATACTATGCTCCCCACATCTCTCACAAACGTTACTTGTTGCAGCACAGCACCCAGATATTGCAGAACTTTTGGAGCTGTTTCTAAAGCTAGTGCTATTTTGTGCGTTTATCCTTTACATGCTTAATCACAGAGCAGCTACAGTTTTACCTGACAGTGGACGATTTTCCTGTTAGCGCTGTTCCATTCAGGCTGTCTACATGAGTATCTGATATAGAAAGAACCCAAAGTATAGACTGCTGTTCTTTAGGATGAGTTGCTGCGATAGCTCCTACCATCAGCAATATCCTCCTTGAGCTACGCTTGGCAGGGCTGGTCAAACAGGAACCCCTAAGCCAGCATCCCAATCATTACTCCTTCTCCCTGGAATCTCTCATGTTTGGTTTAGGATAAGAGGAGTTAACTGCAGCTTTGTACGGAGGCTGAGGTGATCCAAGTACTGCAACATGTCTGTGCATGCTAGAATGACCTAACAAAAAAAGCACACAAATTACAAGCTAGATCAAGATTAACAAACGTCTGGCACCTGCCAACCTGGGCAGAAAGCATGCAGTTGTTCAGTGGAGAAGGCCACCTGAGGAGCCTGATCCTGGAACAGATAATATCAGGGAAGTCACAAAACGTCCCTAAAGCTGATGAAGCCCTGCCCTGCCACTGGCAAGTTTACCATGGACAAAAAAAGGGGACTTAGCAGGCTTTCCCATGCCAGCGTTTCAGAGCCTAACCCACTCATCTGGACACTCCCACTGCACCGAGCTGTGCTCCAGGTTTACCCACTGAGTTCCTGTTCTCTGTCAGTCTGCCCATAGCAATAGCATTTGAAGTTATATGACTTCATTTTAACAACAAAGCAAACATTCTTCAGTATAATGCAATGGCAGATGCACTGTGAGGATGCTTTCTACTGGTACAGTCCTTCCACCGCCTTGGGGTAAGCATCCCAGCTGTGCTCGCACGGACAGCGTACATTTGGAAGGGCCTTACGCTCAGCTGAGACTTGTAGAGATATTTAAATATGAGGCTTCACTTCTGAAGCCTGTCTGTTGTGTCATTACTCATACCACACAAGCATATGCATGCACTCTCGCACAGGAATTGGGCTTAGCGACTGACATTTAAAGAGGCTATTTTTCTTCTCATGTAGATACTGTAGTCAGCAGACCTCCCCCAACCCTGCCTGGCAAGGACTCCAAAAACCCCAACAGCGTTAAGTGTGGCAACAGGAGAGTTTCTGCATCCAGCTAACCACTGCTAGCTCGCAAGTAGATCTCTCCCGCGGAGCTGGGCTGGCTGGGGAGCAGCGGCAGCCTCGTGACCTCAAGCCCAGCTTTGTGCAATCACACGCGAAACCACAGAGCTCTGCTGTAAAGCGTCTTCGCCTCTGAGGCGTGTGAAAGGCTGGCAGAGAAAGCCAGTGACATCATGTCAGCCCGCGCGGTCCCCTGTAGGTTTTGCATATTATATATAGATGTTGGCTTTTGTTGTTTGGGTTGGTTTTTTTTTTTTTTAAAGGCACAAGACCCTTCCTTGAAAGAGTGAGGAAGTCAACTCTCGAGACTGTTGCCTCTTAACCACAGAACTGTGATTAAGGCCAGATTCGCTTTTAAGTCCTGTGTCACAGAGAATCACTTATTGGTCATTACCTGTAGATTAACAGAGCAGTATGCAAGAGCACCATCGAGCAAAGGAAACTTCGTTCAGTTTAGTTGCAAACACTACTGTCAGGTATAATATCCAGTATAGAGGTGTTGAAGTGGACATGGCCCAAGCAATGTTTTTTCTGCAGCAGTAAGTAAGAAAAAGATGCCTTGAAACAGATCCTTACCCCACATGCAACCACAAAACCAACTTGTGTATCACGGAGCTATTTTTTTTTTTCTGGGATCTGTCACAAGCAACCCACACCTGCGCTCCTGGCAGCACCTCACGCCACCTTGCCCTATGAACGTATGGGCGACGTGGCAGTCGGAGAACAAACACAGTGATAAAAAAAAAAAATTAAAATCGGTCTGGCGAAACAGTAGAGCAAACAAAGGAGAGACTTCACCCAGACGTGATAGCGACTGCCAGCCTGCCCGAGAAACCGGAGGAGGGAGCACTGTTGTAGAAAAACAGGAAGCATTGCCCTTCCCCGCACAGAAAGCAGCGCTCGTGCGCATGGGGAAACTTCCCAAGTTGAGAGTCACTCAGCGTTAGAGAGCGGGCAATTGGTTTTGCTGAGGGACAAATCCGCAGATCTGGAGGCCTCTTGAGAGCTACCTCCCAGCTCCAGGCCAGAACCAGCACTCTCAGTTTCTGGTGTGCAAAGTTAAGGATGTTATTCCTCTTTCTCTTGTATTTTCTCACATCCTGGATTTTCACATCCTTACAGGTGGCAGTAGCATTTGGAGGTCATGACTTGGCCCTCCTCACCACTAGATGTTTCACAAGGTCTTTAGGGTCCCCAGCTGTGCAATGCTACCATGTTGTGCCAGGACACGAGAAGCACCAAGCGTGACCTAGCCGTCACACTGGCTCCGTTTCCTGCGTGAAAGAAATGCAGGACAGAACAGCAGAACATTTGCATGTTCGCTGGTGCGAAACAGATTACTTCCCTCTCTTCCCTCCTCGTCTCCACTACTCACATCACCCTGTAAGCCAACAGACTCTGTGGGACCTCCACAATGTTGACCATCATCATCTCCATCACAGAAAAAGGGCTAAGAACACTCAGCCTCTTTTCGACTATTCTGATCTGACAGAGTTGATGTGGCCATGGACTTTGCTTCATCTTTTTTTATCTATCTCCCTCCCAAAGCAAAATACATTGTTCTATTTTTTTTTTTTTCCACTTGCTTTACCCAAACAAGTAGGAGTCTCAGGAAGCACATGTGCTCGAGCCTAATGCCAAGTATGTCACACCTACCAGATGCACCTCCATTGCTGCCCAAGACAGTCTTGGGTCTTCTGTTACTACCCACCCAAGGGAACACCCACACTAGGAAATTCAGCAGCCTCATTAAAGCCCCTCGTGACTGTGCTCTTTAAGGGGCAGTGTTTGCACAGACCCCATGCTCACACTTTCTGAAGCGTCAAAACATTCCCACAACTGGTCAGTAGTTCCTGAAGGAGAAGACTGCCAAAGGGCAGGAAGCAATGAGAAGATGGCATGGTTGGCTCCCGGGCTGCCACCACTCTGCACATAATTTACAGTTCACTTTCTGTATTAGTGCAAGAGCCATCTCTGTAATAGCAGTGAGAAGAGCTCCTTCTCAAGAGCCGCAAGGTGGGGAGCGGACCACTGATTTCAAAGCTGCCTCTGGCTTTTATATTTGGCCACTCATACGAGCATCGACAGAGTGCCAGGGACACCAGAACCGTAACAGTGGCCTGGGAACCCCATAACCTACCACCTTCATGAACTCATCACGTGCAACTGCTAGATACACTGAGCTTGTCTGCTTCAAGCTCTCCTCAATTTAGGAGGAAAGCTGTTAACTTTCTTTATTAGCACAGTGACCACTTCATCCTTCTACAGTAAAACATCTCTCACCCAACTGCTCGCCTGTATTTGAGTAGACATTAACCTGGCATAACTACCCTTCCAGCCACCACCAGAAATTCTGCCTTTCCAATGCCTGAGCAAGCTACTGAAAGAGGTCTGCTGTGCTTTTCCTGGACAAGATCAAGCAGGTTTCCAGCTCAGCCACTGAGCGGGTGATCTCCTTTTAAGTCACACACAAGGATCAGACAACCTTAAGATCATTACAGAAGTCCTTCACGCCATCTGATGTGGTTGACCCAGGGATTCCCGTATCTGCTTTCTGACTCTAGCAAGTTCACACCACTGCAGCTTCAAGATCTGAGTCCACATCCTCCACAGGGCACCTTGCCCTCCACCTGTGAAGCTGATGTTTGCTGGTGTGCTCCTCACAGTCCTATCGTGCTCCTTACGTTCAGCATCAGCGCTGAGTAGCAGTGGGAGGCTCCATCTTCCTGGACTTGACAGACTACTCCAAGGCTGATGACACCCAGCATTAACTGCACATCGGATGTGCGAAGAGCTGTTTCCCAACTTTCCCTGGACTTCATTCAAAGCAACAGCTGGTTCAGACAAACTCCTGAGAAAGCTCAGCTTTCTGCCAACCAAGAAAATCTCACCATTTCGTAGAAGGCATATGCTCTCAGATTGAAAGACAACCTGCTGTTGCTGCAGTCATCCGGACTCTTCCATGTTTTGGATACTTAGGAGAAACACCTCCCCTTTCCATCTCCTGTTGGAAAGATGGCATCCAATCTCATTTAGGATTTTCAGGAGTCAAGAGCCTCTGACCTCTAGACTGAAGGCACCTCCCTCTGGTGCAGTCTGAAACGGGTAAAGTCTCGAAAGCCTTTTGGTGTTTCGGGACATAGCAGCCACACTGCTGGCAGTGTGCATTTCTGACAGCACATCACACCTGGGGCTCCGTTCTCTTCACTACTTCCTTGGGATTTTCAGTTCAAGGCCGGGATTCAGTCTTCGCTATCGGGGCCCTCTTGTGAGCAGGGTGTCAGTTACTCCTTTTCCCACCGAAGAACCCCACCGTGCTTTACACAGCTCTTTCCTGTCCCTAGTACTTTTCATAGAATCATAGAATGTTTTGGGTTGGAAGGGTCCCCTAGAGGTCGTCTAGTCCAACCCCCATAGCTACTTTTGCTATGGATTTGCTAAGAAAGTGTCTGTCTACAGAGGAAAGAGGAACTCGCTCCCAGATTGGATGCAAATGAGCTCCTGCATCTCCCAAGCTACTTCCTAAACTTCCTGATCATACCAAGACTTTTGGCTATGCCCCACTCTTGCCTTCACATCCCAGGTTTGGCGCCAGGCAGCCAAAAGACCCAACGGTCTGTCTCGGGACACGACACCCCTAAGCACAGCGCCTGCGTTAACAGACGCGAGGCAGGCGCTGACTACTTTCTACCTGTGTCACAACATCCTGTTTCGCGGACACCGCTAGAGCAGCGAGGCTCAGAAAACAAAGTTAGGATGTTTTCCGAAATGCTGGTTTGCAGACTTGACGTGAATAACCTCTGTCAGTAAAAGAAGCGGTACGACACCGAAGTCCGGCAGTGCCGAGGGAGACGGATATGGCAGCGACAGGTGGAAAGCACATTCCCTTGCCCCTCTCCTCTGCCCTCCTGGATCGCAGCACTCACTCCAAAGCACTAAGAGTCCCAGCGATCCCACCGGAGGCGGCCTCTGAGCACACAGGTCACCAAGACACACGCAGCCGA